TCTCTCTCTCCATCTCTCTCGGCATCGTTTCGTGAACGGCTGGAAATTGTCAACAAAACCCCATGCCAAACCAACAATATTACATCTCAATTTCAAAAGGCAACCGAAATTTACTAGGAGATGCCAATGTTTTGGAACAAAACGTAGATACTCATCATTTTCGTCGTAGTCGTCACCGTAGGCAGTTGTCGTAGGTTTTTGCACCGACGATGCTGACTCGAAAATGGCTCGGAAGAAGGATCGCAGCACTCCTACAACAACACACTCTATGTCAATAAAAAAAACAATTACGGTTCCAATTAAACATGAATTAAGATAGAAGCAATTAACAAACGAAATTACTTTGATTTTTCGAGCATACACAGTATAGTTGTTGTTTTTTTCTCTCCACTTTTATTCTCGTTAATTTCGTTAGTTCTTTCTCTCAAACACACTCGGTTTGCCATCCGTGTGCCATATAGAATGCTAGATTAAACGGTTGACATCTTTCGTCATTACTTTGGTCTCTTTGAAAATTCCGTCAGCGGTAATTACAGCTCTCAACAAATATGAGCCCATGCACAACAGAAACGTTTATTTTCATTCAAATGCTTTGATTTTCATGCATAGCTCTGCCATTAACTACGGTCATTTCATTTAATGCGGCTCTTAATCAAAGAAGCTCTCAATGGAATTAATGCACAAATAACTATTGTCGTTCTTCTTTCCATTCTTCGTATTGTGATGATTCCTTTCTCAAACTCATTTCTCTTCTTTTTCTGCAAAACAATTCCACGTCACACACAGACTTTCAATACAAATCAGCTGATTCGGCTGACTTTTGTGTGTTAGCATTCACTTAGCCTACTTTACGGTTATAACATTCGTTACATAGCGCCACATACACACACACACACATGGCAGTCCACGCAGCAGTAAACACACATGAAACGCAATGTACATAGGGTGGATCGATTTTTAAAATCGCACAAAATCGAAGACGGTTAGTGCGCGTTCGATTTGGCACCTCAAAAAAAAAATAACTTTTGTTTTGGGACATATGCCGAAAAGTCCATTCCCACTATCCGCCGAATTTTTTTGTCTGGTTCATTTTTTGAGGACTTTTTCAGACTATTTGTCAAAATATCTCGAAAAATAACCACTTTTCGTGCAT